CCCCAGGACGCTGCCCCCACAGGGCTCCCTGGCACCACGTGCCCCCTTGGCACCCTACAGCAGGGCCTTCAGCACCTCAACAGGCTGCAGGAGCACCTTCAACGTGCAGGATGGCAGCGACTTTCAGGACCGGGTGGTGAACAACCCCAAGCCCGTTGTGGTGGACTTCCACGCACAGTAAGTTCTCTCCCATGGCTCTTGCATCCCTCTCTGCCACCACTGGTGCAGGTGTGTCCCTGCTGCTTTCCTGACACGGTGGCACTCCGGGCACGGCAGGGATACAAGTATGCCCAAGGGCTTCCCATGCAGTGTAGCTGCCAACTGCCCTGCTTGGTGTCTGGTCTTAAAAGGTGCTTCTCCCTCTGCGGCGTCAATCCATAGAGATTTCACTCATCAGGTTGCACCACTGTAGGTGTAGCTCTACCCTGCGGGAGTGTAAAACACAAGTGCCATGGAAGGTGTTCCTCACAGCGGCATAGCTGTACCTCCCAAGTGCCTGGGTGTCACCCTGACCCCAGTATTGCGTCACCATGCAATAGACACCTCAAGAAAAAGCTCTGATATCTCACTTTTTTAGATTTATGGATTAAATGCCCTCTTAAAAACACTAAATTATATTAACAGCCACGGAAGAACGCTGCACTTGGTATACCCCTGCACTGTCATGTTGTGTTTTTCCAGTTTTCTTAGGCTGCATGCTTTCAAGGCAGGGCTCTTGACAGTAAATGCCTTGATGTATTAATAAAAGCCACGTGGTACCAACGGCAACATTTGTCATCGATAAAAATGTTGTCATTCTCTTGCCAGTAAAAATATTCTTAAGTGTTATGTGCTGGGCTAACAATACTGATTATCTTTGGTTTCTCACGTGTTTTCATAATCTGGCAGTGCTGTCATGTGAGCCTGTTGTGGCTGATTCTGGGCAAACGGAATATGAAACAGCCTCAAAACTTCTGGTTTACATAGACTAAACTGACAAACCAAATTGAATGTTAATTGGGATCATCCAGGGAGGAGGGACAAATAATGAAAGCCTGAAACCTGATACAGAAGGAGGCTGAGGAGGAACAAAGTTTACCAGAGCTTCAGTTTTAAAAGAAAAGGGCACTTAGAGCTTTAAACAATATTTTCCTTGCACTGAGCAAGTTTCTACTATCCTAACTGGACCAGTTAGAGGATGCAGGGGATGTTTTCTGTTTACAGGGCTCCACAAAATCTTACGTTGCAGCGCTTGAGTTTGGACAGATGCGATGCCGCTGCCAGTTTTGCAGCTAGAGAGGAATTTCTGTAAACCCTGCAGTGTGTGCAGCAGGGAAGTTGATGATCTGATGATTGGCATAAACCAATTTGAGTGTGGGCTGCAACCCCCACACCCAGCAGCAACACTCCCTTTAGGGCAGCTTTGTGGTCAGCAGGGTCACAGCTCTGCCTGTACACACCAGCGAGGACACAAGGCAGGGTAGGAACGAATGGCCAAAAAGAGGGGGCAGGAGAACCACCGAGGCTGGCAGAGCAGACTACAGTACAATCAAAATGACATCAGAAGCACCACAAATGCTGAATGGTGACCTCTGCTTCCACTCAGTCCCCACCACCACACACTCACACATAGGTAAAAAACACCTTTGATAGCTACTTTATGAGAGAAATGTTTTTCTAAGCCTTGGTTTGGGTATGCTGTTTCCAGGCTGGCTCTCAAATGGAACAGCAACAGTGGTGAAGACGCTGGCGGGCCAGCCAGCCTTCTCTAGCAGCCCCTGTGCTTGCCTCCTCTAATGTCCCCTCTCTCCTTTCTCCATCAGGTGGTGTGGCCCCTGCAAGATCCTAGGCCCCAGGCTAGAGAAGATGGTGGCCAAGCAGGAGGGGAAAGTGCTGATGGCCAAAGTGGACATCGACGATCACACAGACCTTGCGATTGAGTATGAGGTAGGAGGCAGAAGAGCATGGCCTTTCTTTTCGTGCTTGGCAGGGCAACGAAGGTCCCCCCTGGGGGAGACGTGTTAGTGCACAGCACAGCAGCGGTGTTGGTGGGAAGGGGAAGCCCGGTGCCTACAGGTTCCTGATCCCTCAGATCACTCACTAGTAGGTGGATTTTGCTGCTTGGCTCTCCTGCAGCTCAGCTGCTTATGCTCAGCATCCTCACGTCTAATTCTGTGGAATGGTGTCCTCGGAGCCTCACAGGCATCTGTCAGTGTAAATGCTTGCCTGGCTTCGAGGACCCTGCAGCATACGCAGCATTCTCCTGCATGCGAGGGCTGCTCAGGTGCAGGGCAGGAAGATGTAAGTAACAAGCCCTGGTCTGCTCTGCTCTTGAATGTGGTTCTTTCTTCTGCCAGCCCATCCTCTCTTTTCCTTCCCTGCTGGAGCTCTCTTGCTGGGTGACAATGTCCTGTCCTTAAGCCATGGCACAAGGAGACACTGGGCATTTATTTTGGACACATGGAAGCTGGGTTGAAGAACAACCATAATCAACAGGAGCATGTATCCTGCTTTTGACGAGTGTCAACCGTGGTGCCTACACGAGTGTTTTACATTGGGTGTGTTCTTTGTGCTGCCTTGCTCCCAGGAAGGAGCAGACTGACTGGAGAAAACCACAGCTTTGGTTTACAAGATTTATGTTTTTCTTTTCCCTGTGACGGTGATTAGGTAGTTTAGAAATGCAAAAACCCTCTGACGACTGTGCTGGCCTTTGTTGTCTCTCCTCGTAAACTTTGTTGTCTCTCCTCCTAAACAAAAACTCGGTCTATAGAGTTGGGGCATCCTGCTGCTGTGTTTTACAGGGAAGAAGAGTGCTTAATTTTCACAGATGGAGCTGCTCCCTCTCTGCCGATGAAATCCTACTCCCAGTGTGGACGCCAGCACAGGAAGCTCCTTGAGCTGCCCAGCAAAGTGTGAACCATCTCCTGAGCAAGCTGTCATTTTGTTGAGCCTGGAAGAGATGCTCTGTGCTGTTCCCACACCCTGCCGAGCCGGCAGGAGAAGGAAGTGGAAACAGCTTGTTCCCTCCCACTCTGTCCCAAGGAGACCTCCTCTGCCTGTGCTGTGGTGGTGTGTCCACCCAGCTGGCACCCACAGACGTGCCTTGCAGCTTCCACAAGCTCAGCGTGAGAGCCTGCGGTGCTCTCCTCGGTGGTGGGGAGCTGACAGATACGCCCCAGGCCAAGGGAGCAGGGCCACAGCTTGCAAGCCCAAAGGCTGCGTAGCTTGAGGGTGCTGGTGAGAAGTTAAGAGGGTGAGGTTGTTTTCAGTGGTGGTTGGAAAGTCCATAAATCCTAAAAGGTGTAGGCGAGGCTCTGGTAGCAGCCACCCTAAGGAGAAAAGGAGAAGAGAATAGAGATTATTAGCTTAACTCTTGTATAGTTCCAAGCCTTCCAGTAGATCGAATTAGCTGGGATTACAAGAGGATAATCTCAGATGACTGGAAAATGGCAAACGGCATGCATGCGTTTCAAGAAACGTCTTTAAAAAGAGGCCGAAAGCTCCCAGGTTGTGCCGGCTTGGTGACATGCTGCATGTGCTCTCCCACTGGATGGCGAGGGAGCAGCTGCACAGCCTGCTGTGGACATGTGTCTGTCTGCAGGACTGTCTGTCTGTCTTGCAGAGGTGCGAGCAGGGTCGAAGCTGCAGGCAAGGGTCAGCTTCCTTGTATACAAACATGATGAAGTTTGTGTTGCAGGAGAGCCTGGGCATCATTGCTGCATCCTCCACTCTCAGAGTGATACATGTCTTCTACATGTTATCCCCATGACTAAGACCCCATCCCTAAGCAGTGTCTATGAGTAGAATAGCTGCAAATGGGATGAGTTAAAGGAGAAATTTTTGCTTTAATCATCATAGTTTGGGGCATCCTGTTCAAGGCAGAAGTTTGATGTGTGTGCTGAGCACGTGCTTGCTTTTGCTTCGTCTTGCGGCAAGTTGTCATTTCAGGAGGTGTGAGCATAAGGGTTGATGGGAAGATACCAAGTTGAGATCAAAGAGGAACCAAAGGCAGTGTTTGGGAGAGATGAGGAAAACTAAAGGTGGCATTTGGGAGGGATTAGGAAAGATTTATTTGTTTTAAAGCCGTTCCATTGGGGATCAGATGTCTGCAGGCTGAGAAGGTTTTTGTTTTGGGGGTTTTCAGCATCGATGCCACCCCCACAGCTCCTCCACTAGCTGCCAGGAAGTCTCCTTCCTTCCACATCCTCTGCCCACACACCCGCTGCCCGATTGCACAACATCCTCTTCAGCAGCCTCCTTGGGGCGGGGCAGGGGGAGGGGGA